GCTCCCAATTGGCAGCAACCGTCTAAACCGCAAAACACGAAACCACAGCCTCAGCACTGGAATGCCGACCAATGGTCGCAAAGTCAGTGGTCAGAGAGTCCGTCGCAAGAAGAGGGATGGCATGACATTCAGTGGCCACTCACTCAACACTCAAACAGCGCTCCGGAAGAACGACCGTCGGTTTGGTCACAGAATCGGCCGAACGGAGAGTCGCGACCGAACCGTCCGTACAATGAGGAAAAACCCGTCCGACCGGCCAAACAACAACAACAAAGACCTCCGAAACAACAGGTCTGGCCTTCGGATATGTGGGAAAAGAAGGGACCGAAAAGGAGTGAAGAAGTGATTTCTGGTTTTAACTGATTTTTAGGTGTTTTATATTGAATTGATTTTAGATTTCAATAAAATGAATACATTTTATACATAGGCCTTAAGACATACCCTTTGGTCGTATTGATTGAATGAAAAGATGTGTTTTAAAGGCCATTGAGTGCTCTGTTGTTTTCAACTAATAAGCATTTACTGTAATTTCTTTTTGGATTTGATTTACAATACATTGAATTAAGATAATATTGAGTGAAAGATAACAGATTTCCTTTGATTGATGTTTCATTTGTTTTTCAAATTAATGTTTGAGCCAAATATGGGACAAAATATTGGCTTAAAAGAGGGTCTTAAAAGGAAATGTATTCAAATTGGAGTGACTTATAAATGACCGCAAGTCGTCTGTAAAATCAATCAAAACCTTCAGACATCTGTATAATAATTGGAGACAAATAGAGAAAGTGTTGGAAAACAGTTTTTTTTAAATAAAATAAGTATCGATAATACCTTATGTATTATGAGATCAAACAACCTTCAAATCTGCGATAAATAGTAACTAATTCTTTAGAAATAGTGAAATGCTTTTCAGATAAGAATACAATCTCTTATGACAACGATTAGCCAAAGGCTATAAAAACAAATCATTTGTTTAACAGTTTTACAGTTATATTCTCGCAAAATGTCTACCGAAGGAAAGGTATTCTCTAATTTCTATTTCTATTGTCTGTCAGTTTCTATAATACCTGTCCTCACAGACAATTACCTGTCGAGCAGCCGTCCTATGGAAAGAGGGCTCTCCGTTGACGGTGGAGACGATAACCGTGGATCCGCCGAAGAAGGTTAAGGATCGCACAAAACCCACAATTAGTTCTCATTTCTCTTACAAACGGTTCTATTTTTGGACACTTTTCGGGTTTAGGGCGAAGTCCGCGTCCGAATGGTAGCGGCGGGCGTTTGCGCGACGGACGCCCACTTCGTGTGGGGCTGGCCCACAGACCTGGCGCTCGACTTCGAGGGCCTGCCGGTGGTGTTGGGTCACGAGGGCGCCGGAGTGGTGGAGTCTGTGGGCGCGGGTGTGACGGCGGTGTCTGCGGGCGACAAAGTGGTGTTGATGTGGATGCCTGAGTGCGGTGTTTGCGACCTTTGCCGCAATCCGAAGACCAACTTCTGCTCTGTTGGCAATTTCTACACCACTTTATATCACGACAACCGCGAGACGCGAATGAAAGTCAACGGAAAACCGTTACTCTCTTTGGGTTCGTATTCGCGGCTCGAAAACAGAGTTTGAATTTGAGTTTCGCGCCCAACAGCCGGAACGTCCAC